GGAGCAGAATGAATATTGTTTCTCGAGATAGGTTTCAAGTTGGTCTGGCCCTGAGTTGACAATTATGTCGTTTTCGCCACCAAAAAACACATGAGATCGTTCATAGAACGTGCCACGTGGTTCTGCCACTGTCCAAACTATTGACGGTTGATAGAACACCTGGTGGAGGGGCCACACTATACCTACATTCTCTGTGTCACTTCTTCCCGAAGTAAAACTGATGCCCTGATGGMCACCCTGCAACATCCTGAGTAGGACAGGAATACAGTGTACAATGAAATGAAGCTATGATTGAATGAAATTCAATGAAGTACAAGTGACTAGGGGGGAGCTGTTCCCGGAACTTTCTGGGAATTAATTAAACTTCAGGCATTTGGTTTTCTTACTAACTGCTTAGTACTCTGGACAAATGGTGTCATATGTATCATGTGTTTTTTTACGCGGGAGACTTATGAATTTGGCTGACGGTGATTCTTCTGTCTTCTGTCTGATGTCTTATGTCTCTCATTTTGGATTGCAGTGGGCGGACAAGGCTGCGTACGACGAGACCCTGACGAAGTTGGCAGGGCTGTTCAGTAACAACTTCAAGAAATTCACCACGCACAGCGTGGGCGGCGACGATGAGCTCACCAAGCGCATCCTCGCAGCTGGCCCGCAGCTGTAGTTCCGATTCAGCACCTCATTTTGGGTGCCTCCCGCCGTCATATTCATTGGGCTCTGTCGCAATAACTGTTGCCATCCAACACATTCAGATTTCGGCACAGGCTAGCTATCAAGTGACTCAAGCCGTCTAGGGTTTATCCATTTCGTTTGTCCGCATGTCTGTAGTAGTAACTATCACAGCGGTGCACTGCTGTAGTCAAAGCGAGCCCTCCACCGCGGTGGGAGTGAACGGATTTTTTTGCCCCCCAGGGCGTGGACATTCCTTTTCTGTTGTCTCCTGCTTTAGGCAGGCGCTTACAGTGTTTAGAGCAATCCCCTTTGGCTTTTTGGGAAGGAAGGAGGGTGTGAAACCCCTGAAGTAGTGGGCAGATTCTTCTCTATGAGGTAGGAAAGGAAAAGCAAGATCATTTTGAAGGCTTCAGATTAGACTTTGGGTCAGGGAGGGAGATACTTTGAGGCACATGACTTTGATGACTTGCCTTAGCTTTTGAAATTTGAGTTTGGCCTCGATATGCTTGTGAGCAGCCAAATGCGTTTTCATTTTGAATTTGACTTTGACCTCGAGATTCTTTCTAAGGATTCAACAAGTGTATATACTTCGGGACTCTTTGAAGCTTTAGCTTGCCTTTCGCCCTGGGCCCCGGGATGATGGCATTATAGAAGAATCACTCTCAAACTCTCTCTATTTTTGTAAGCTCTTAGAATTTAGAAACTGTGACGGCGCTGTGGATGGAAACTGCTCCCCTACAACAATTTGTTTCCAAACCTTATCATCCGGCCTTTGTCGGGTTGGTCTAAGCCTGCTTCGTATTGTTAGCATCATCCGGTACATATATAATGCATGATGTCTTCCTCTTTGCTTGTATGTCGTTCTTCTTGTCTGTTGTATGTCCTTCTTACCCTGTTTTTTTCTAGGTACTTCTTGTCCCTGGGTGAGTTCCTTTAAGGACTGATAAACAGTCATTGTTGGGGTGTTCGGAATGGCTGTAAGCCTGTAACACTGTAATGGGTGCCGCTCTTTTTGTGATGTCTGTGCGCCGTTTGCAGTGCACACGGACTCTATGGGTGATAAGAGACGTCCGTCAGAGTGACTCCCTCGCTTCAAGCAGGTTGTGGGAAGTTGGGTCCTGTTGGGAACCAACACTCTGCGCGGCCCTGCGGCCCCGTGCGCGGTATGCTTGTGATGTGAGTAGGTGATGTGCTACTTTGCTCCATGTTGGAAGTGTAGACTGCCTTGACAGTGTCTTCTCTCCGCTGCTTTGCTGCCGTCCTGCTTGCTTTACCTGTCGTTCGCTGCAGATGCTGTGTTCATTGTATGACTGTCACTGCGTTGCTGATGTTGCCTTGTGCTTGAGTCAACTGCTGCCTTGCCGCCCATCCTTATGCCTTGCCTTCAGCATTCTTCACTTGTGTGTCATGTAGTTTGACGGCTTTGTTGGTATTGCCGTGTGCTCCGCTCCACTGTTGTCGTGCTGCTAGTCCGCTTGCACTGCCGTTCATGCAGTTAGTTTCCGTGCTGTGCAGTTGGGTTGCTCTGTCAGTGTTGCCTCGTGCTTTGCCGAGTTGTTGCCTGCTGCTGTGTTCTGCTTGTGGACACTGGACAGTCTGCTTTCAGAAAGGGTCAAAGGGTTCATGACAGGAAGCATCAATACCAGGATCCCACAGATTGCCGAGGGTTCAACCTCCTGATGAGTCGGTGCAACTCCAATGAAACAATTTTGGTATGCAACAGACACATGTACGCACGCACGGACACACACACACACGGGCGTGCACAGATGCTGTCGTGCACGCATATTCTTTCTTCCATTAAAGGATAGACCTTTCAATCAACCAATGCAGGCTGTGTACAGAATCTTTGCCGTCTAGGAAATGGTGTGAGAACATGGAGCATATGTTTCTGTAGTCCCCGACAGCGATATGCCGTGAAGGTGGTGGGACTGCCTCTGGAGACAACTGGGCGCTTCACAACTATGAAACACCGTCGGCAGCGGACAATCCGCGGCCGCGGTCGAGTCCGCGACCCCTGCGGACGCGTCCGCGCGGCCGCGGATATTTGCGGTCGTGTTGCGGCCATTGGGGAGGGGTGTTGGGGATTTCGGAAGCGCCAAGGGACTGCGCAACCCCAGCCCC